CTGAAGGTGTACTTCGAGAACTGCTACTGGAACTAACAGACGAGATGAGCTATGTGTGTCGAGTTTGGGCTTGTTTTGTTAGGTATGGTGAGACCTTGCCTTCTGACTAGATGGAGTGACCTGAAGGTGTACTTCGAGAACTGCTACTGAAACTAACAGACGAGATGAGCTATGTGTGTCGAGTTTGGGCTTGTTTTGTTAGGTATGGTGAGACCTTGCCTTCTGACTAGATGGAGTGACCTGAAGGTGTACTTCGAGAACTGCTACTGGAACTAACAGACGAGATGAGCTATGTGTGTCGAGTTTGGGCTTGTTTTGTTAGGTATAATTATCCAGGATGTAGAAAAGTTGTATGGATAATTAAAAATACAAGTAATACAAAACAAATTTGCACACTTGCAAATTGTAAGATTAGGCATGTCTAAAAGGTCATTTTTTTGTATGTTTCAATGAATAGGTGTAATAAATATGTACTTCAAAAGTTTCGAACGACAGCTATGTGGCAAACTTTTTGTTTCACGTTTATGACCCCATTTATCGTTTATTGTTTTGTCGTGTTTCGCACTGATCAACTTTTATGATCATGGATTCTGCCTAAAATAATACTAAATTTAAAATAAGTAAGAACGTCTTTAAAATAGGCAAAACACTAAAAAAAATAGTTATGTAAAAATGTAGTGGGTCTCAACTTAAATTATCAAAGACTTATTTTTATGGCACAGGTATCACATACAACATTTATATTATAACTCAATTGTTGTTTCAGATGCCAAAGCCTAAAACGATAAAATTTTAGCAGGCTACTACTTCGATATAGATAACAAAAATAATTAAATGATAGAGAACTATAAAGAAAAATCGCAAAGATCCGACACAGAGCACCCCGACTCCGTGTGGTCTTCCCTATCCCTAGAGTGAACATCAAAAGGCGGAGCCAGAACCTCGTGTCGGAGGTATAAATTGGCCTCGCGGGCTTGCTCCACCCAGGATCGACATAGCGACAGTTCTGCGAAGAGCATGGAAGAGTCAAATTAAAAAATGAAACAATATTTTTTTAAGCTATTGCACAGCTTTTATCGCGGGCTTTGAGTGCGGCGAACGAATCAATAAATTCCGTAACGAAAATAAAACCTAACACCACCCACTCCGCCTACCACGCAAGAGGGCAAGAGGAAAGATTTGATTGTTTTTATGCATTAAATAGGCTCCTAAACCACTGAACAGATTTGAAAATTTCTTTCACTGTCTGGAAGCTACATTATCCCCGGATGACATAGGATATATTAAATTTTCAAAAAACTAGGAATCCTTACTAAAACTTGAATAATGTAAACCAAAGTGCACAAAAAAAAATTACCTAAAATATTGTTTGCATCGCGTGCGCTGCTAAAACTATTGATAATTGTATAAAATAATGTACTACGAATTTGCAGAACACATCATTATTTATAAAAAGTGTTGCGAGTATATGTCTAACTATTATAGTTATGCCACAATAAGTATTCTTTTACTTTAAAATTTTGATTGAAATGCCGCCGCTAGAAAAGGCTCTTTATTTGTATCTTGGTATTAATCCTTATAAAAATAAATTACTTTATATTTAAGACTGTTTCAATATCTTTATATAACTTTTTGAATGATTAAATTCGGACATTCCATTCGAAAGATATCACAAGTTTAAAAATGTTAGTATGTTGTAATTTAACTATCCAGAGCTTAGTGACTGACTTAGTAGTTCTTATCATTTTTGTAAATAATATAAATTAATTATATATTATTAATTATAATATATAATTAATAATATATAATTAATTATTATATTATTAAAATATTATTATTTATTAACATAAATATAAATATCAAAGAAAAAAATACTGCATAATTAAATAATTATAATCGCATAAGTTGATAAAAGATGCTATGCTATAGCTTTACCCCAGCTGAGCCGAGTGCGACAGGTTTTTTTTATAAAAATGTTTTTTTAATTTTTACTAGTTTGTTTCCTTCGTTTTATTATTTCATTTTTAGTTTCTAGATACTAGCCCGGCTTCGTACGCCATGCTATTTCCAATTCATTTACAGAAAATTATTTTTTTTAACATTTAGCATGAATATTATTGAATCAGCAAAATGCATTCAGAATACCATACAAAGTATTTTACTCAATTCGTTAGCGGGTTTTACCTAATTATCTGCCTACATAGCTACCTTCCTACGTACCCTACCATTACCTACCTATCAAGCTATCTACCTACCGCACGCATAATCAAACATGTATAAAACAAGCTTCGTTTTCTTCATAAAAATTAATTAAAACATGAAATTAAATTATATACATAATTAATTAAAACGCAAATTATCAACAGCTACGAGCTTTTAAATGAAATTTAATAAATTATACCTAAATATATAAAAAAATATTCAGTGTAAAAACTTGTTGAAAACAAATTTAACGTAAGCTTAAAAAATAAATGACTTCAAATTAAATAAAAGTATCAAGTTGCGTCAGTTACATAAAGTTTCGCTGCTTCGCGCTTGTCGCTGTGTGCGTGAACCGTGCACGTGTAGTAGTACGCCTCTGTACCTAAAATTGAAGCGCGTGAATTCGTAAACGCGTCCTTAAGTAAACGGTGACTATGTAGAAAAATAAATGCATACAAACAAAAATAAGTAGGTACATGAGTGTCATAGCCAAAATAAAATTATAAAGGTAAAATACGTACAGCATATTGTGGTTTGACAAATTTGTCAAACAAAGATTGCTACAGTAGTATAAATTTAAGTTTTGACGACGAATTCGCTCTTTTCATATAAAACTGAAAGAATTATCATGCCAAAAATATAGTTTTAGTTTAATAAGATAAAATTGTCAAAAAGAAAATGTTTATTTAATCATTCAAAAATTGTTGGCAAGGAAACAGTTCCAATATCTTTTGTACCCGTTTACATTTTATCATAAATTGTTGAGATTTCTATCCGCTTAGCGATATCTACTTAAAACATCCAGATTAATGGAAATTACACTTAATATTTTAATTATGCAACTTACACTTACTGCTTCATTAAAGTATCAACACATTTATTATAAAAATTTAGTTTAAACATATGAGACGGAGGAAATTTGTATTATTCCAAACAAATTATATAGAGCTTAATCAAGACAGTTAGGTAATATATTCAAATATATCTAAGTTATACAATACTTTTTTGTCAATTTAAGTAACTTACAGTCCAAAGAATGAGAAAAGGTAAAAACAATATAAAACAGCGGTGGAAAGTAGTATCCTTACCTTAAACTATACTTTGATCTAGTTTTAACAAAACATATTTAAGTACGAAAACTGGTATAAACCCTAACCATAATTAAGATATGCCTTAAGGTAGATCGTCTTACATAAAACTCACTTTTAAAAACGATAAGGGAACATCTTACATACTGTTTATTCTAAAAATCGTATACTATAGAATTGAATGGAACTGGGCAGTGTAATATTTTACAGAATGTTACTCAAAGAATGCACCAGTTGACAGGTACCTAAAAAGTTATATAACTTCACAACCTAAAACATGGAACCACAAATATCAAAGCTATTTGTGTTCACAAGAGAAAATTTTTAAAATTAAAGTTGACATACATCATTTAAACAATAGCTATAATGGTTACTAATTTATAAAAACTGTTGTAAGGTATGGCAAGTCCTAGATAATTTTGAGTAATACATATGTATTCAATGATTCATAGGAAATTTACAAAAGGCGACATATAAATTAGTTATCGGCAAATTGTTAATACAGTTAATAATACTAAATGGTTCATGTATTTAAGATTAACGCCTGGTTTCTGATACAATGATCATCATAGAAATTTACTTATCATCCGTCAAATGTCATTTGAGTTGTTGAAAGGATGGAAGTTAATTTATATGATGATCAGTACGTCAGATACCGGGCGTTACACTGCTAACTTTTTACATCATCAATACAAGAGGTCCTGCCTTAATATTACAATAAAATAAAATTAATGAAGTATAATTTGTTTACCTTTTATGTAAAAGAAACTACATCAAATAAAATGTGTCTAAATCCAGTCTTCAAGAGAATTAACTTAATGATAACTCTTAATGTACTTGTAAAATACTGTAGTTGCCCTATGTCGAAAAGATTGTGGTTTCAATAAGAGATCATTGTGTGTTGAGATAAAACTATTCTGTTATCATAGATCAGTCATTTAGTACCAATGGTCCGAAGATTTTGCAATTTACATAGCTTAGATTATAAGTAACACTAAAACGGTATTTAAAGATACCCGAAAAATGATCAGTTAGTTAAAACTTTAGTTACATATAATCTACACAGTTCAAGTAAAATGACAATTCAATTTACTACCTACTATTCCTTGCACAACTTTGTTTATACCTTGAAGGTTATTACCCTATTTCAATATCATTACTTTTTGCTTGATTGTTATTATACCTTAGAGAAATGTTACATAACAATACTACATAAATTATGTGAAACAGTTCAGGTCGCATGTGCATAATATTATAACCATAAAAAGTTTTGCAATCTCAATCCAAATTAGTTAGATATATTCTCAAAAAAATAGGCCACATTTAACATATATATTGTGCCAACTTAAGCAATATTTGCTGGAATGCTTATTTTAAAGTTATATATTGAAAAACATAAGACATAATAATAGTATATGGTGCATAGTAATATTTCTCTAGTTCACGCTACAAATGAATATTTAAAACTTACAGTACCAGATAAAATAAATGATGTCAAAAGGTTGCTATTTTAATGTTTAAGTAACTAATTTGTTATATGGTTAAAATATATAAATTGTGCATCTTTAAAAAATAAATAATATGTTGTTTATAATAATACTAATGGTTTACTAATTATTGATATACTACTTTAGTCAGGATGTGAAACAGAATTGTGCCAGTCAAAATTACAGAATAAAAGAAAAAATCCTATTATCAAATGCAAGCTCAGGGATTGAAAGTGGGCATTGCAGCAAGTTTTTGCTTCACTTCTTCTGCCGTATCGTCACTCAACAGGAGTGTATGAGAAAATCCCATTGCAACCTGAGTTATGTTGAGCCCCTCCATTCTGGTCACTTCTTTGGGCCGTGCTGTGGATTTATTGATGTCTCCAGTACCCTGTTTTTAAAAAATGAAATTAAATGTTAAATTGCGTTAAATTTAATGCTTTTCATACAGTGTCAAATAGCTATGCAAAGGCATATAAACACATTTTCTAGTATTGTTTTATGAATTATTTCCAAATTGTTATAATGAATTATTTCCAAATGACTAGATAAAAGGTTGGATAGAAATTTAATTTTTTATTTACATGCTCATTTGTGCGAAGTTGGTAAAGTAGAATGGACTTAAAATGCGCGCTGAGCTATTATGACAGATAAAAAAGAAACCCTAACATTAATGAAAGAGGTATTGCTTTTCACCAAATATTGTTTAACTACCTGTTCTGTATCGCCTCATAAGTCTTAGCGTGATATTAATTATACCCTATAAACTTCAAAAATATACCTATTAAATTTAAAAAGCAAAGCTTTTTTTTTTGCTAAAAGATTTGTTCCAAATCCCACTGGCAGTTCCAGAGGTTGGCACATTCAAATAAACTTTTCAGATTTATTATAAATATAAGTATGGATATTTAATAATAAAAAAAAAAAATATTTCACATCATGAAAGTTCGAATAATGTGAATAACTTGTAGGACCCTTCAACACAGACAACACATATTGGAGCACAGCGGCCCGTACATAGCCTAGTAATTCCCTCATTTTGTTAATACATTACATTCATGTCCACAGGCATGGCTTTACTTTACTTAGGTAGGGTCTATGAATAATTAAGATGACCATGACCTCTGTGCCCAATAAGGCTTTATATCTGTGGACTGTAAGCACAAACATCTATCAGGACATTTTTATGTAGACTTTAATGAAAGACAGCAACTAAATAAGAAAATCAAAGTTTGTGAGAAAAAGTTTAAAAAAAAAATATATATTTCTAGCAGAAATTAACAGAATTAAATTGAAGATTGCAATAAATGAGTTGCATGGTCTGTCTAACAACATTCAGTATTGTTTTGAAATTTTTCAGTCGTAGCATTAGTGAAAATTTAATATACACGTTATTATTTCTATATTCTGCCTTTTTGTAACATTCCGCTAATTTTTTCAGTATATAAATAATAAACAATAGCAACTTATGTTCTAAGTGTTAGAGTGTATATAAAGTTGGAGGAAAATGTCTTTTCCAAGCTCTTTTATTTATTCAGCTCTTTGGTTTATTTGATAGAAAACAATAGCAGATCTATTGTGTTCTATCAAATATACCACTGAATATCTAACCACTAATCTCTAGACTTAATTTTTTTTAATCAGCTCACAATATTTTAAATATTTACAGGGTGTAGATGTAGAAAAAGTAAAATAAAAACTAACCAATTCTCCATAAGTCGGCGACACTCCCCAGGCAATGAGTGAATCATCAGCAGCTATCACAATTGATGTGTTGCTAGTGCCTACACTTCGAATATTCCAACCTAAAAGAAGAGTTACCATAAAAATAGATAGGATACCTCTACTTATCCAGTTTTCATAAAAACAATAGTAGAGTAGTTATTAACACTATGGCGTGCCTCAGCCCAATTTGCATAATGTGTCATCTTATAAAATCGAGATCTCTAAAAGAAGATTATGGAGCGTTAAGAAGCATTATTGGAGTTTACATTGTGTAGATTAAAATATTAAAAATCAAAGTATTGTTATTAAAGAAACTTACCAGTAAGGTCCTGTACTGGCTTTGGATACATATTGGCTTCTCCTGTTCGCTTGGTCTGACCAAACATGAAAAGCACACCTGTCAAAGAAAACTTTAGTTCACAAATTCAAATTATATAGAAATTATTGTGTAATAACAACCTCATAATTGCTATCAATAGCTCAATGTCTGGGTACTCGCTTTTAATTTAATTTACTCAAGCAACCTGAGTTCATTACCTGGTCCTGGAACCAATGAAATTGGTGGATTGTCTTCATTAGGGCAATGAAATTACTATTTATTATTAAAACCAATTAACCACTTCCAAGAAATCAGTGTTTTGCCATGTTCATTGTGAGAGAAAGATGTTTGCAGTCAATCTTTTAATTATTAATTAAAGAACTCATTAATTTAAACCTAGTTATCTATTCAATAAAAATAAAAAAAAACTATGATGAAAATGAAGTATCCTAATCTGCAGTGCACTAACATTTAAATTATAGCACAGACAAAATTATTTATTATTAATGAAATTTAAAATATTTAACTCCACATTATTATCAACATAAAAAAGTACCATGTTTCATAGGATGGTTCGAAAATAAAAATTATGGGGAATTAAAAAAAATTATTCCACTTATGGCTTTTTGATGCTAATTGACAACAATATATTTTCAGTTAATTGAAGTCTGGTTTAATTGAAGCAATTAATAACAAACGCGATCGATTGTAAAATGTTAATTAGACTGATTGGCCTAATCACATGGGTGCGCTTTACACCTGAAGTGACTCACATATCCACTGCATAATTAGGCGCCCTTATGTATATAGACGGCATAAAGTATATTTTTACGCCAAATACAAACAAGAGTAAATCAAGAACATGTATTTCTCTTGACCACATCTGCTACATACAGTCTATGAAATTAACTCCAAATCCATGTGTATATAGATTAATATAACAATAACGGTTAATACAAAATTTAATATTGAATTTCGTGAACTTTAGTGGTTTTTGTATTGCATTAGGAGTATTTTTTGAATAGTTGGTAACACTGAAATAGGATAAGTCCTTTCAAATGAAGTATGAGGAATTTTCAATTATCTCCAATGTATGAATACAAACCAAGTTCGTTAACGGCGAGGCTGTAGGTGGCTCCGCAGTGCACGGAACGAACGCCACGTGCTTGTGACTCAAAGTACTTTATAAGGCGCGGAACGCTCTCATCTTTCTGCTCGGCGTGGCCCAAACGCCCAAAGCCGCCGAAACCCCAGCTATATGCTCGCTTCTGGGAGTCTATTGCGACCTGATGATTTAACGACCGTATTAATAATATAAAAGTATACCCTCAAATGTATGATTGTACTGCCTATAGATAACCTTTCTGATCTTACTGTTGCCTCTGTGCAATAGAGTCTTGAGGAATAAATTGCTCAGAATTATATTTGTACTCTCATTATCCCTTTAATATCATTTTAGATATGTGCTAAATTAAAACATAGGATAACTTTGACAAGTTATTTAAATAAACAGAGAAGATATCCCAGTGTTATCTAAAAGTATGCCTATATCATACTTACAGTATGGTTATTTCCACAAGAAAAGTCGACAATATCGACGTCCTTTACGGGTGTGATATGTCCGTCTTTAGACTTTTCAAAGAATAGTGCAATATGCTTAGGCACAGTCTCAAAGTGGAATGAAAGTTTAGTAGATGTTACAAAGTACTTTCCATCTGTGTTGTGGCCTGAAAAAAATGCACAATTCTGATATAAAAAAAATTTTTCTAAAATATTAAAAGCTTGGTCTTAGTTCAACATAAAGAAAGGGCATAATTGCTAGCATGTCATTCTAACCTGTATAACTAAAATTTACAAAAAAAAAAGTTTTCGAAATCCGTGAAGTTTGGTAAAATGAGGTTGTGTGGAAAACTATGAAACCAAAAACCTCTGCCAAAAAGATTTTTTTTTAATTTCAAAACTATTAAATCATATTCTCTTTCCTATTCCTATATTGTAAATGATATAAAATTTGAGTTACATCATCTAAAAAAAAAATCCATTTTGAAAACCTTTTTTTTTAATTCGCATTTCACGCGATTTTGAAATGTGAATTATGGTTAAGGATGCTGTATTTTTCCAATTTTAAATTTTTAAAATTGGGTAATATTTTTTATCTGTAAAAATAAATGAAAGTTTGAGTTGTATCACTTAAATCCGCACCATCCGCATATAAATGGCATTTGTAAATACGGTGTAGACAAAAAGTGCACATGAAGAAGTTACCTAATTGACCATACTCAGGCAGTCCAAAGGAATGAAGAGCACCATTACAATCCAGTATCATAGAAAATTCAGCACCACATCCAACTTTGACTATTGGTGCTCCACTGAAAATAAAAGAATTATGTAGTTATTATTAAATTAGAATACTATAATTGTAGCGTGTCATGTGCGAAAGACAGTGTGAAATAATAAAAAGAGGCCTAATAAGAATTTGGCGATTATTACGATTTCATCCCTCATAATAGGGAAAATGGATCTAGTAGAACCTCATCAGAGGCAAAACCTAAATTTGCCTTTGGAAAATGATATTTTTAACGAGCGAAAATGAACATCGTTATCCTATAAGATCTACTAGAAATAACAATCCTAAGTATAAATTTTGATAACGTTTTTAACATTGATTATATACTTGTACTCTGTTTTATATAGCTCTTTGTACTCTACTTCATATAGCTTGTAATTACGGGGGAGGGATCAGAGATCAAAATACCGGTAAAATACAGTAACGTTATCTGGGCCAGTGTGCGATAACGTAATTTTTAAAGAAACGTTATTAAAAAACGATATCGTGCAAAGCTTTGCAGGCGCATAACGTTATAATTGTGTTACGTTACATTCGTAAATTAAACGTTTCTAAAATATTGTTATAAAAATAATAACGTTATTATTTATTGTTCTATGCCATCTCTTTTACTCAAAACTGTTTAATCTTTTTTGCGTATGTTCTGTCTCTTTTATCTTATGTTCTATCGCGCTTATATTGTGGTCGCCGGTACAGCAATTCAACTAATAGAAAATTTTGCTTAAGTTACTAGGAATATAGAAATAATACTACCTTTATCTCTCATAAGAGGTAAAGGTAGTATTATTTCTTTTGCGGGCATCTTTCTTCGCTATCTACTTAGTACCATCGCTTGCATTCATTTAAAGTTTTCACCTAGGGACTAGTTTAAGTGCTAATGATAAAATGGTGTGCATGTACAAAGTAGTTAATTGGCAATTTTCAAATGTTATGTTATGTTAAATGCTTTCTTTATTTTTTATTAATATGATTTTATGCATTATAAAGTTAATAATTCTGATTCGATTTTTTGTTGCATTTAAAGTCGAAATGGAGCACATTTTTAATATACAATACAAGGTACAATTAATATCATCGACCTTTTATACTAAATGAAATCTTTAATATTATATATAAAATTCTTAAATACTGAAAAAAGTTTTGACTAACTTGCATACTAAGTGCAACACGCGCCAATCCGAATTTTATACTAATTTACTTCTAATCAATGAATCGATACGTCGAAAAAACGAAAAAACTGAAATAAAAAATTTTTATAAAAAAAAAACATCTTAAAAACAAAAGCTTTTTTTATAAAATTGGGTATGTGATACAAAACTTCTTTAATTTTTTAGAAATAAATAAGTTTGGCAACGTTGCGTATTTACCGTTATAATAACGTTAATTTCTCTGTAAAAATTTCGTCCTGTTACTCGTATAACATTCTAAAAAAAAAATTGAAATGAAATGTTTTCTGAGGTACCGATACCATTATAACGTTATGATATCGTTATAAATTTCGTTATGCATAACGCTTTAAGTCCCTGGGAAGGATGTAGCGTGTCATGTGGGCTGGCGAATAAATACTAAATTTTATGTACTTACTGCCGGGCGCGGGTCTTAGTCTTTCCGGGCATTAAATGTATATAACCATACAATTATACTTTTATTGAAATTACGTCTATGGCGTACAAATACTACTGATGTAGCCTATCACTGCTAACTATCAAATGTTAATGGAAGTAAAACCTATGAAATTGCCATATGGAAATAAGTTAACGTAAGTATTAAGTATTTTTTTTTTCAAAAATTTTTATTTCTCTAATTCAAAGTTGCATATACAAAATACATAAAATAATATAAAACAATATTAATTTAATATAGTATTCACAGCCAATCAAAATTTTTTTTGTTTCTAATGGCCAGTACTGAAGAAGGACAATTTCATAGGTAAAGACCTATTATTAATACACACTGCAATTAACAAATAAACAAAGAATAGATACATAAATACATTTATTAAATATTAAGTGCATTAAATATTGACAACTATAAGACATGTTGTCTTTACATTGATAATAACAATTATCAATGTTAAGACAATAACAACTCAAGGATCATTCAATACTTAGTTATCAGTAGGAAGAGAAATAAGTTTTTTATATTTTAGTGCTTATACCCTGAATTAGTTTAAAGACTACATAACTATATTATGGATCCCCATGTAGATTAGTAATAACTTTGCCAGATGGATACTTACGCATGTCTCACTCGGGTGGGTTTTAGAATCTGAGGAGTCGTGTTGCCAAGGCCACATTGTCCACTTTTGTTATCACCGCAAGCATATACTGCACCCGTATCTTTGGAAAAAAATATTTTTATACTGCAACTGAATATTAAAAACCTTTTGATTAGTTTTGTATGTATGTATTTATCATTATGAAGTGATGTATCAAAATGTGTAGGCTATTTAACTGATGTATAGGAGAGGGTTAAAATTGGATCTTTGAAAATTTATCTCTTGATTTGATTTGAATTAAAGTAAAACAAATATCTTAATTCACGTTATGTAGGTTGAGACAAATTTCTTGAAACAAAAATGACACATTGATATATTTTTACAAATTTAACATTTGAACAATCAGTATAAAAAAATATTATAGAAGTTAGTTTTGTGATATAAAAGGCTGTCCTTTTAATTATTAAAAAAATGATAGATATGTTCAGAGAAAATACATCTATGAGGGGTAATGAGAGATCAGTTAAAACTAAAGTAAACATGGTAGGGCCACGCAGCAGCCTCGCCTCGCCTGTTGCACGAATGGGCAGGATCGAATGGGTAAGTACCATGAACTCACAGAAGACCGGCGTAAAGCGGAAGTATAATACTTTCGCGTTTCGTCTGGTGGGTGAGGTGGCCGGAGCCCAATTTTTCAAAAGGTTGTTAACACAGGCAGGCTCGCCCAGGTTAGTACCAGGGCCTCACAGAAGACCGGCGTAAAGTCAAAGTATAATACTTTCGCGTTTCGTCTGGTGCGTGAAGTGGCCTAAGTCCAATTTTTCAAAAGGTCTGCTTGCTTGGCAACACATAAAAAAAACTGAAATTTTAACAGATAAAAATTGTTTAGAGCTAATAAGCATAAATTTTTACCTCTAATGAAATAACATACCAGTTACGAATAGAGAATGATTTCTGCCAACAGCAGCATGGATGATGTTTATGCCTTTCAGATCAGGAACTAATTCAGGCACATTACGAGTGACTGTATCACCAAATCCCAGTTGACCACAGGTATTACGACCTATATGTAAAATATTTTAGTTTTAATACACCTCAGGCTTTAGTGATTAGTGTCATCATGTGTCTTAAGTAATTTTAAGTTATTAAAATTTAAAATTGCAGATAGATTAGTATGTGGATGGCAAATTTAAAGAAAGAATGTACTGAAGAAACTTGATGTCTGAACATGGTAGGCGCAAAATTCAGTTGCAAGGCTTATCTGTACTCCCTTTGCTCTCTTAGCGCCGAAAAGTCACTAAGAGACAAAACACTACAATAAAACAAAGAATGCTGCTTAAACCACATTGGAAATTTGCACGAATCTTGAATTTTCCATATTGCTACATTATCATGTGGTCACATTGAATATGGTAAAATGCTGCCTGCGTAATAAAGTAGCTATTTGTCGAATTTTTATTGTCTCTTTAGTATGTTGTCATGAATAACAATTGTTAATGGCAATATCAATAAAAGAATGTTTTATATATAAAATATAAATTTAAAATGATAACTGTTTCTAAGTCATATTACATTAAGAATTATTAATATTAAATGTAAAACCGAGGGGTTTAAATTATTTTATTAACTGTTAAGATACTAACCAAAAGTATAAGCTTCTCCCTCCTCGGACACCAAGATGGAATGACCAGCACTGCATCCACTCACTATGAGACGGTACTGAAATATTATTGCCATATATTTAAAAAGTTAACAATTATTAGTGTGATACTATGAACAAGAAGATGGGCAAAAATATTATTTATAGTATTTATTATATATTATTGTTTATAGAATATCGAATAAAATCAAAATGTGAGCTTGCGCGCTCTTATGAATCGAGAAATTGTACATCAAAAATTATATATATAGGTTCGTAAGGTTCTACCGGTTCGAACAGCAGTTTCTGTTGAGAAGAGACCGGCAAGAAACTCAACAGTTGCTCTTTATAGTTTTCTAAAGTATCAGTTTAAGATACAACATACAAGTATAATAGTCTTATACTAGCCTACGTGGGTATCAACAGTATTAACTTCACACATTACGTACACGTACAGTACTAACTACACATACGAGTATGCTTTAACGAAAGTTGACGTCTAATTTTACGTTTAAATTGGTCAAAATTAGCTTAATATCAACTCTGCCCCATGAACGACCTTATTACTTTTTGTAAACGAAACAATGGCGTAGTAAGTTTGTCCTTATTTCTAGTGTTTAATCTATATCTGTCACTATTTTTAGGTAAAAATTAAGATTATGACGTATATACAAAATATTACAATAAATGTATTGAGAATGGAGAGAATATGCATGATAACCCAATGAAACTGCTGAGAATATGTGATGAAAATGATTTCAAAGTTTTATATTAATCTTTATCTTGAGATGTGACAATGAGTGACACTTTTCAGATTGGCCTTTTATTTATTTAAAAAAAAATATTTTTCAGCTTAACGTTAGCTAGAGGACAATGTATACATATACATGTATACAGAGTGTTACAAAACTACCCGTAAAGCCGAAAAGAGGTTAAATGGGGCCTTATAACGAGACCATTCACAATATTTAAGAAGCGTAGTAACGCTGTATAACATACTCAGAAAAATTCCTATTTCAGTAAAATTAAACAGTAAACTACGCAAAATGTACTACCTACATTGTAGCAAACATTTATGAATGAAAAACAGAAAAACTTTTAAAGTAGACAATTATTAGATAAAATAGGTATGTAGGCCTTTCTGTTAAATAATCTGTTTCCCTGATATGACAGCTTACTATATTGATAAATTTTTTGCCGTTGATAATTAATTATATTTTTACGAGATATTTTGTAACACATTATATATATAATTTTTAAAAAAGTGAGGTCATATTAATTAATGTATACAATCAGATGTCAAATCAATGGATGCAAGTTAGCTCAAGATTGTGACTATAGTCAAGGCAGTTCAATTCAGCAGTTGACTTAATCATTTTAAAACCATGATATGATACAAGTAAATGTTACTAATTGCAACTAGATTCAATGCAAAGGCATTGTCACTGTCATGTTTAATATTATATTCATCTAACCGTTTTCCGAGAAAACGCCACTTAACATTCGCAACATTATTGTGCAGCTGTGGCTTTTGAGATTTTATGAATACTGATGTCCGACCCGTCTTGTTGATAAAGGAGTGTTCGAATTTATGTGTTACCTAACAACAATCTGAAATATTTCATATATATACGTAAATGGGTTTTTAATGATTGGATAACAGATATTTAAAATTAATATACATTAATTTAAATGGACATATATCTATTTAGATAAAATAAGACATGGCCCTAGAAATGTCAGTATTTAGTACTTTGTCTAACAGAATGACTATCTATCCTTACTAAATTATTCTCAAACTATGTACTGAATCTTAGTTTCGGAATAACTTAGTGAGGATTAGGAAAAGAAAACATTAATTTGAATTGTGTAAACCAACTTCAGTTGATTCTATTACTTAATGTTATTGGTAAAAAATGTATTACACAATGTAATGCAACAAAATTAACATCTTACAAGTTTGCATAATATATGGATTAAAATACCTTGCGCTCAGTAAATTTATGGAAAGTGTAGAGATTTGGGTGTGTTCTCTTGGATGGGTTGTTATCTCTTTTGGCCACCAAATCCCAGGAAACAAGTCCAGCAATCATCAGCACCCCAGGTGTTTTGTAGAAAGTCTTCAATAACTCCTAGGAAGATAGTTCAATATAAATTATTAAGTTTTCAAATAAATAATAGTCCCTATGGCATTTAAAAATATTATAAAATTATCAGACTGTTGCGGGGCTAAAGTTTGATAGACAAATAACAATTTCTATAACAGATTGACTCATAAAAAATATGTAGATTTATTATTAATCTGCATATAAAAAAAAGTATCAAAAATATAATTAAATTTTTCCTCTTTTGTCTAACATTGTATGTATATACTGGAAATATATCTGAAGTATCAAATTATTTATGAAGAAATCATTAGTCTAATTATTAATATACCTCTGGCAATTTTAACATTGGCATATCAATAAGTGGAGAAGGGGTTCTTGGAACTTCCTGGGTGTGGTCTGATAGGGAGGATTCATTGCTTTCCTCATCTTCAGAAATAGGCTTCCGGGGTTTTCTGATTTTCGTGGCGCGACCCGAAGCTGGCCCGGGGCGTTTGCGGCTGCCATTATTAGACATGTTGTTGAACTAAAAACAATTATTTTTTAAAATTAATTTAATAAGGAGAATAATAAATTAATTTGAAAAGGAGAAAAATAAAATCAAATTGTAATTATTTTAATTTGCAAATGTTTCCCCGCATTTTATGATTAGCTAAAGGCGTCATAAAAATAATTATATATATATATATATATATATATATATATATATATATATATATATAAATAGAATTCATTTTCAAATGATATATTACTCTACATGAGTAATGTATCATTTTAATAAGAGCAAGGATTTAAATATTACTGAAGGAATAATTTTAAATAACTTTAAGAATTTGCAATTTTGACATTTTATTAATGAATAAGAAAAAAGCAGGATATAAAACCTGAATAAAAACCTTGATCTTGGACAAGGAAATGTTTGGATTTGTTGGCAATCTGCAAAATGAGAAAATATACATTTCTGAAGGGCAAAATTACGAATATGTTGTTATTGACAGATGTTTGTGACACACATCTTTTAACTAATTTTTTTAAACATTTTAATCTTGGTATTATAATAATTTATGTATTTAATAGTTTGAAACTATATTGTTTTACAGAAATTCAAAGAAACTAAATCATACCATGGGTGATGTTGGTCAGAAAGTCTGAAAAAGTCTTTTTGCATGTATTAAAACCATTTTATGACTAATAATAATTGTGATATGATTTTGATGACCCGATTGGCTTAATGGATAGTGATGAATGAAAACTGTCTCTTGGATCAGAAGGTGTAGGTTTAATACCACTGGACAAATAATGTGTCATGAAATAGTTTTTCAAGAGTCATGGTGTTTATATATCTATTAAAATGTAGGTATTTATTTAGAAAAGAAATGTTTCTTTAAGTATGTCTATCAGTTACCTGGTACCCATAAATACAAGCTGTGCTCAGTTTGGGACTAGAAAAACATCACATAAAAAGGATAAATCAAATTTGATTCACTAAACTAACATGCAATAGGTGATTTTGTTTATATGTTTCCGTTGAAGTGTAAATTACGTTTCTTGTACACATTTAAAGACCATGTCATTTTATGGTTTATTAAATTCAAATTCAAATATCTTTATTCAATTTAGAAGTATTATATTTAATTACTGATTGTCAAAAAACACCACTACCGGTTGGGAAAAAAGCCACTGACCTGAGAATAACCAGCACAAGAAACTCTGTGGAACAACATTTTTTAAAAACATAATTTGACAAATATAAAAAACATGTATAAAATATATGCTATTCCACTTTAAAGAGCCTGGAGCGATTTATTCATTTACAAAGTGTGTTATTCAAATAATCACAAATGCTATAATAGCCTCTAGAACACAAACATTCCTTTACAAGTTTATTGAATTTAGAAACTGGTTCATTTTGAACGTTTTCTGGGATTTTGTTGTAAAACTGTATACATTGTCCCATAAAATATTTACTTATTCTACATAATCTAAATGTGGGTAAAATTAATTTATGTTTATTCCTAGTATTTATATCATGTACATTACCAAATCATAAAAATTCTTATTTTAATAGAAATTCATAGCAAGTGTGTTTTGAGAAGTAACCGTCAATATTTATTTTATATCTTTAAACAAGTTTCTTAGGGAGTCTTTGGGGCCCAGGTTGTAATATGCTTAAATAGCTCTCTTTTGGAGGATGAAGATGGTGTGTAAGATGTCTGGCACATTTCCTCAAAGTAAATGATACTATGAAAACAATTTTCACTTAACAAGAATAACTCACATAACATTTAAATATTTGTTAGGAAATACAAAACACATACCAATTAATCAACATAAGTACTCTTTGAAATTACAAGTAAAAACTAAAATTAAAGCAACCATAGACTTGACTCCATATGCCTACCCCTTACCCTATATTTCTCAAAAATGGATTAATAAAAAGTAAACCTACTACAATTTAGTTTGCAATAACCGTTTTTTGTACTCATTTGAACGTATATTATATCATTATTATGGGATAACAAGATATGTAATGCAACATAAATATGAAAGAAGGAATAAGATATTGAAATAAAGTTAACAAAGCTTCCATGTGCCTCATGTGTCTATACGAGTCTCATGATCATGAACATGCTTTTTTAGTTTTGCCAATGTCTTCAACAGTGCTAAGCATTAAGTTCTGAATCCTATTTCTAACTTACTTTCAATAAATATAAAAAAATTCTGGATTTTGTTGTATATTTGTATGTAGATATATATATATATATATATCTATATATATATACATATACATTTGTATATACATAACATATATAAAACACTATTGGCTTTATATCTGTATAATAGAAAACTGATAAGGCAAAGATTTTAAATCCTTAATAATTACTACAAACTTTGTTTTAATTTTAATTATGTGTTTTCTAACTTCTTAAATAAGGCATAATATATAACAGGTAATTATTAGTGAATTTCATAATTATTTCAGAGTAATGATCTATTAATATTAATTAAGAAAAACCAAAAGTACTATAATATAAGTAAGTACTCCTTTTGTGCGTAAATGACCAGAACGCCCCATTTTATTCAGTATATCATTATTTTAAATACAACATTTTTACATATTACAAGGAATGTAAACAAATCGCACAGCAAACAGACAAACTTTTAGTACTTAATTACGTATATAATAAAATCCACTAAAAGTAACACAATAAAACAAAATGCTTTCCGAAATAGACACGTGCCATGTTTCCATTTTAATATCATTTACAATAAAATTATATTTATGTTTTATACACATAATAAATCAATATAATTCAAATCTAAATTAACTTACCTGCTGAAGCAAGCAAAGAAACTAAGATGTAAATGTTTAAAATTTTCGTAGGCAAGCTTTCATTTGTATGACAATGATGGGGATACCGCGAAAAAATTATTATTATCTCCTATCCGACTGTTTTCTTTCGTAAAATAAGTTATGTTCATATTGGAAACATTGCCAGTAAATAATATTAACCATAAGCGGTAACATTGTAACTCTAATAGCGTTCCCTCCCCTTCTTTTTAAAACTGTTCGTTGGATGTTAGAGAGAGATGCAAATATATCCTTAGTAAGAACAGTGAAACTGATTCCCAGGTAATTTAGGTGAAAAAAAAAAACATACTTTTTTTTACGACAGAAATAAGTATCTACGAGGAGTTGAAAACAGGCAATGATCTATTTTCACATATCATATTAATTTTATAAAAATATTGATACTGATAGACGGACCATTGTTGATTCGCTTGACGTTTAACCAAAAAGGAATGTTAAAGTTGCCATGTTATTTATATTATTTTAGTGTTCACTTGTTCAGTCAGTGAGTCTGCGTAAACTCGTAACACTGTTTTAATCGATATCTTGAATTTAGGGCAGACGTTATTAATATCGATAACCTATTAAGTCTTTACACGTGAAATTGGCGTTTTATACGGGAGGAATATAAAGTCATTTTTTTTGTAAAATATAGTCAGTTAATCAAAGTATGTATTGTTGTTATCTATGCACCCTTTCACCCCAGTTCATTGATCCCTTTACTAATAAAAACCATGGGGGCGAGAATCAATAAACTCTTTGAAGGCTATTTTCGTTGATTAAGAAAAAGTACCTGGAGGACCGAGCTACGCTCGGTATTTTTTGGTAAATCATGTATTTTGGAAATAAAAAAAATAAAAAAAAAAGATTGCAATGATCTGGTATAGAAAAAAAGTTAAAAAAATAAATGATCGTGATCCGCGGCCGTCTGTTTTGGGGCCGCCCGATTACCGACCGAGCTAAATCTTATCATAAAATTTTTTTTGCGGCGAAATTGGCCGTCATTTTCGAATGATATTTTTCTTTCCCTGAAAAAGGGATAAAAGGAAATTTTAGCTAGCTAGATCGATTTTTCACCCCCGATTCTACGCACATACTAAATTTCATGAAAATCGCTGGAGCCGTTTTCGAGATTCCGATTATTATATATTTATACAAGAATTGCTCGTTTAAAGGATAAGATAAAGGCTAATATAATAACATGTCTGAAATCACGTTAAACCGGTGTAGGTACCGAATAGTTTCGGAACCATCGAAAGTCCTTCAACAGGGTGAGTAGGATTCCCAGTCTGGCACTGCGCGCCTGAGCTCGTGGCGTGGGTGCAGAGCATTGATAAAAGAATATAAGAGGATGTCAAGTGTGCTGAAGCCAAATGTTTCTCTAAAATGGCGTCGACTCCGCCCACAGCAAATAGTGTTGTTTTATTACGTCCATATTGATATCGATGACACGCAAAAATGTTAACTTTGCACACCTTTCTATTAATTCTCATTTGTCACCACTAGTTGAAGGGTAGGGGGGTAAAAACTAAAAAAAAAATAATGTAAGGGTAATGTAAACTAAAACTGGTATTTGCTATCAGCATTGTAACATAAAATAGGTTATTGTCATAAATAGTTAAATAAAATAAAAATAAAATAGTATATTGATTAAAATCGTTTATTCATGGCGCACTAATATTAATTTTGTTAAACAGTTGCGCTTTGATATATTTTCTGAGTGTTTTTTCCATGAACCTAAATTAACTAATTGACTAAATTAATTAACTAAATGAACTAAATTATGTTTCTTCAAATCGTCAATAATCGTTTGGAAAGTCGACACCTTCTGCTTTAGTCTGCGGCACTTCTGACTGAGTATCTTTATTTTCCTTTGCTGTAACTTCACTTGTCTGCATAACTTTTGGACTTTTTTGGTTGCATTAACTGCCATAACCTAAAAATTAACGTGAAATTACAATAAACATTTTATTTTATATATAAGGTTAGGGAGATAATTAACAGGGGAGATTCGTGCTCTGCAGTAGAACATACATAAGGTTGATGCTATTAAATTTCATCAAAATATATACTGAAATTAACGTATTGTGCAAGCCTTTAATAAGCAGGATACTATTTAAAGACAATGATGCTATTGTTTAAATAGAAGTTAGAAGAAATACTCACCATAAGAGTTTTCACCTGAATTTATCGTCTTTTGTTTGAGTCTGTTTGTTGTATCTATTTCCATATTTTTCGGGTGAATACAGACGGGACTAACGTCAATATCCATGCGTAGTGGTACATGCTGCAAATTATTAAAATTATACATTAATAATAATAATTTTATGTATGCTATGCTTTATATATCTATATGTTTACTTTAATTTTTATGAACCCAACCAAATAAAATAATATCCAAAATAAAAAACAAGTAAATATCCCCATAATAATAATAAATCAAAAAGCATTTGAACGGATTCACCAGATCAAGTCAAATTTCTATCACTTCTCAAAACTTTTAATCTTAATTGCAACTTAAAATATAAGAGAATAATTAATAAAGAATAATTCCATTCCGTGCTGTGCGATAACATTAAAGTAAATTATAAATTTGTAAGTGGTGTAATATTACATCATAAAACCTTTAAAATAGACCTTCACATTAAAAACATAATTAATGTTATTATGAATGAATATAATATGGCTTTTAACTAAATACAGAATTAAGAGATTTTGAGATATTATTAAACACAAGCTAACCTTGGTACAATTAACTCATAATGATAAAATTCTTTCAGAAAAATAATATAATTAAGCAATTATATTTATTATAGTGTATGGGAAACTACGATTTTCTATTAATCATAAGCTCAAAGTACATGTGTTCCTAATTTTCATGTGTTAGAAAATATTCAAAATCCTTTAAAAGTCTGTGCTTCAGCTAAAGCAGACTGCTTAAGTAATAAAATAAAATTGTCCTAAAATAAAGCTAAAACTACATGAAATGTTATAAGTAAGGAAAATTTCAAAAATAATGAAAAAGAGGCAGATAAAATTTTAAACCAGCACCCGTTAAGATTAGGTAAAGATAGATCAACAATTGATCCAAGAATAAACTTAATTTAGAAACAGATTTATTGCAGTTGTTGTAGTACTATTAGTCCCAGTATTAGTTCTCATTGCCAATACTGCTGTAGGTTTTACTTAAGAAGAAGTAAACTACAAGAACAAAATAGTTATTATGTACTATTATGATTGAACCTTTATCAGAACTAAAAGAAACTTGCACAAGCAAGAATAGTGTACTCTAGTGTGTACTTACTATAAATACATTTTCAGTAAAATGAATCAAATATGCATTTATATAGAGGCCAAAACAACGCTTGCTGTTCAGAATCACACATTCTACATAATAAAAGCTTTGCAACTCATTTGAAATATCATAATATGCAAAACTATTAATAGGCCTTTATCATAAAACATATGGAACAACAACAAGACTTGACAGAATAAATACTTACAGGGAAGAGTGTGGGCACCACATCATCTTTTAAGCGCACCAAACCGATGTTCTATTTACTCAAATTGCCTCAACATGTTTGGAGTATATTCTGAGGACCCTTGCAGGTTTTATATTTTCAGTGCCTATGTTTTCCATCCATAATTTGCGGAGAGCCTAATTTTTCGGAAATCTAAAAAAATTAAATATTAATTTAATACATTACAGAAGACTTATTATCAAAAACACAATTATACTTCATATTTTCGATGTCCCTGATGTATAATTCTATTACTTCATTTTAATCTGACTATCAATACTACTTCGTAGTACTTGATACTTTGACGAGTGGAGCCAAAAAAATAGTGTCGATAAAATTTTCAAATAACCATGCTATGAGCAACACTACGTTTTCATGTAAACATTGCAAATATTTACTTATTGACTATTTGACTTGTTAGTAGTAGTTAGAAGAATAAAAAATAACCGATAACACTATATGTACAATTTCTGTTATATACACAAGTGGTATCACATACGAAAAAGTACAAAAAAATACAAAAACTGGAACTAACCTAAAAATGTCAATCATTCCAGTATACAATAGTAGTCTTTGATGCCAATCCTTCGTTGTTTTTTCGAATAACATCCTGTGATGCAACACTTTGCCATGTAAAACTTTTTTCCACGTATCTTTACAAACACTTCAGAAATTACCAGAACACACAATTCACTATTAAAATGAGATTTTTTTTTTGGGCTGGATGAGCCACTGTTGGCCTTAGAGGCCTTTACAGTGCCGACGGGCTTGAGGTGGCCTGGCACACGGGGCGCCTAGCCTGAACCTTGGGAATAAATGAAAATAATTTTCGAACAGCAATTATATCGAAGTACTTAGAAAAGTGTAGACCTAAAATGGCGGCATGTCATAAAATGTGCTTCAAGGCGGGGCTTAGTGACGTAACGGAAAATTAAAACAAAAATTTGAAATTCCTGACATATACTGTACTTTATTTACATTTGTAAATTACAATGCGTTAGAGCGAGAAAGATATGTTTTTGTAATTGAGGTATATATTTGCATGATATTTGTATAACGAGAAATTGTATATGCAATAAAGGGATTATCCTCTTATATGCTCTTATATTCTTTTATCAATGGTGCAGAGGGGTTGGTGGGCTGATGGTGATGAGATGACGAATCAAGTGAGATAGATATAGTGTCACTGTTGGTGTTTAGTGTCGCAAAAATTGTACTCACTATGTCCACTGCACTATTGTTCTTATTACGTGTCAAATTAAACAACACGGGTTTCCAAGGAAGGCAGCAGAGCCCATTCCTTATCTCTATTAAAATTGGCCCGATGTTCGATTTAGATGGCTTCCAAGACCTTCCGTGACACGAAGTTCTTTTCAAGGGCTAACACTCTCACCTTATCGAACCTAATCGACATCTAGTTTGGTTTATCATTACTAAGAATGCGCAGTGGTGGCAATACACCCATAACTTCAGATAACGAAATTGCAAGTAGTTTTGAAAGTTATTTTTCAGAAATTGCAATTAATGCCACATGCACGTTAAAATCCTCTCCTATTGATGCAATTATTAAAAATAATGTTAACTATTGTCGACAAACGTTTAAATTTAATCACATAGATACTAATGATATAAGTTTTGAATTCTTTAAATCTTAAAAATACAGGAGATTTGTGGGGCATGTCCATAAAATTAATGAGCACAATAATGCCGTACATTGCACCATATTTTGCATATATTTTTAACAAATGTATAGATTCTGGAATATTTCCAGATCTCATGAAATTCAGTAAGATAATCCCCGTTTTCAAAAGTGGGAATAAAAATGATCAAGGAAATTACAGACCTATCTCCATATTGCCATCTCTGAGTAAAATTTTTGAAAAACTAATTTTAAATCAACTCTTAGTCCATTTTAATATGAACAAAATTTTCCACAATGAGCAATATGGCATTCACTAAAGGCAGATTGACAACAGCTGCGGGTGTCGCACTTGTCAAACATATTTATAACGCCTGGGAAAGGTCACAAGATGCAATAGGTGTCTTTTGCGACCTTTCAAAGGCTTTCGACTGTGTAGACCACGAAACCCTCCTTCAAAAGCTAGATTATTATGGCATTCGTGACGTTATTCCTCAATCTCATTGCCTCTTACCTTAGTAATAGAATTCAAAAAGTATCTATGAATGATGTTAATTCGACAGGATCCCCCATGAAAATGGGTGTCCCACAAGGATCAATCTTGGGTCCATTATTATTCTTAGTAAATTTTTTTTTTTTTTTTTTTATGGGAAAAAAGCAGCAAACGAGCAGGAGGCTCACCTGATGGTAAGTGATCACCGCCGCCCATGGACATCTGCAACACCCGAGGGCTTACAATGATCTCCCCTTTTATGCCAGTGAGTTATGTGATGTTGTACTGTTTGCTGAAGACACATCGCTCATTGTTAAGGTTGAATGAAACGTGTCGAATTATGACGACGTGAATAGTGCACTTTCGCGTATCTTCCACTGGTTTACCGTTAATAATATAGTGTTAAATGCTAAAAAAACTAAATGCCTTCTTTTTACCCTTCACAGCGTAAGAAAACAAAGTTTTAGCTTAACATTAAATAGCGTAATCCTGTTGAGTCCGCTGTATTCTTCGGAATTATAGTGGATTCAAAGCTCCAATGGAGTCCCCATCTATCATCTCTTGCGAACAGGTTAAGCTCCGCTGTTTTTGCAATTAGGAAGGTTAGGCAGCTATCAGACATCGACACTGCCAGACTTGTTTATTTCAGTTATTTCCACAGCATTTTGTCTTACGGCATTTTGTTGTGGGGTAGTGCATCTGATATAAATTCTATGTTTATTCTTCAAAAAAGAGCTGTCCGAGCAATCTATAACATCGGAGCCCGGAATACACTCAGAGACCTTTTTAAAAAGATTAATACTCACTGTTGCGTCTCAATATATTTATTGTAATATTTGTATGTTAAACATAATATTAATAATTATCTAAAGAATAGTGACAGACATAAACTAAATACTAGAAATAATGACAAACTAACTACGCTATTGTTTCGTGTATAAAAAGTAAACAGATCGTTCATGGGGCAAAGTGTGCGCATGTATAATAAAATCCCACAGTCGATATTAAGTCTGCCACTTGATGAATTTAAAAAAAAATTTAAAAGTAAACTTATGGCCAAAGCATATTATACTATTGCTGAATATCTTGACGACGCCAATGTGTGGGGTTAATACTGTTGATACTCACGTAGGCTAAAACAAGACTATTAAAAAAGACTATTGAGTTTCTTGCCGGTTTCTTCTCAACAGAAACTGCTTTCCGAACTGGTGGTAACTTACGAACATACTATTAATTTCCTTGTAAAATTTCGACGTTTCATAAGAACGCGCAAGCGTCTATGTGAATAAAGATATTTTATTATTATTTTATTATTATAGTATTGTAAACAATCGGACAGTGGCGAGTCAACTTGGCTTGCAAGCTGTATTGCAATTAGACCCAAGTAGAATAGGGTTGTGGGTCACATAAATAGGAACCTACAGATTGTTGTGAGGATGTTTGTAAAACGTCCTTACAACACAGGATAATGTTATCTTAAATTAAGGGCAATGTTTTTTAAAAAGAGAAAAAGAAAAAGAATCCCATCCAATTTTTTTTTGTACAATTGCACCTTTCGCGCGCCCGCTTAAACTGCACGGGGAACTTGGCATATTTCCGGTACATTTTGACAGTGAAGTGCCACTGTAATTGCTGTAGAGTAAACAGTCACTTGTCCAATCCATTCCCTACTCGCCACTGACCATGACCATGTAAATCGGACTTTAAAGAAAACGCTAAAAATAATTAAAATGATTTATCATTCATTATGAATAACATTTTTAGAATTACGGTAAAAAATTTGGTCGTCTAAAGAAACAAAACCGGACTAGAAGTTTTGGTTTTGCACAAAAAATGTTTAAAGCAGCGCCCCCTGGTGAGTTGTCACCGTAACACCTATCTAATAATAAGAACCAATCAAACACAAACCCATAATTGAAAACTGCATTAAATCTAACTAGTAGGTTTGGAAGAAAATGGCAACATAGATTTGCACGAACAATGTTGCTGCAGCGCCCTCTGGTGAGTTGTCACCGTAACACCTTCTTAAGAACATGCACCTATCAAACTCGAACCCATTTCTGAAATCTAATTTGCACATACAAACGAACATCCTCTCACCCCAAACGACTTCGAGAGTTAAAAATCAACCGAAGTAATTATTTTGTTTTTATTAATTTTATTAATCATTTTATTAACATGCGATGATGATGTTTATAGTTATTATAACAGTTTATTATAACAACGATGTCTGAACCCCTGAACCAACCATGGCCTAGCAATTTTGCTTTTATGATGTATTATGGTCCGGACCTTTATGGACACAAGTAATTAATAATTGAACACAAAATTATTTAAAGTGTTTATTATAAAGTTGAAACATACCTATTTTTTTTAAATATTGACTTTACCTTCAAGACTTTAAACGAAAAAAACTCCACCATTTATTTGAAGCCCAACTATTGGGTCGAACGTAAAGTTTAATTCCTTGCATAGCTGTGGGATCTTCTGTAGCAGTTCCTGTGGACGCGGATGAAGAATTACGATATAACTCCTCGGCATAATCGCAGTAAAACAACATTTCTTCTTCGGAGGTCACATAATCTTCAACAGTTTTAGCACAATCTGTTTTTTTGCAATCTATAACTGCTTGCGTCAACTGTGTTATAAAGCGTTTTAATTGTTCATCGGTCATTTCTTTAAAATCACTGAACGTAAGCTCATGTCCTTCGTCTACTTGCTGCAAATCTATCTCCATATCATCTTCGTAATCGTCGAATCCATAATCATAAAGGTCGCACATAGACTCATATTTCGCACTGAAAGCGTAACAGACGTAGGATATTATTTTAATGACATATATAATTAGTTACACTAATTATTAGTAACTTTTTTAA